TTTTTTCATTGAAGCCCAATGAGGAGCTTGAAATGATACAAACGTAAGTGGTGAACTGAACCGAAAAATAATGTACATTTCAGAATTGTACGATGAGGTATTTTACAGGAAATGCAAAATTAAATACAATTTAATTTAAATTTAAAACTCACTTTAAATTTAAAGTTGAAAGCTGGTGCTGCTAATTCCAGGCGGTCCAAACCTTCTGAATTACTTTATAACCTCATAAAATCAGTGTTGGAGCAACCTGCTCCTCCCAGATGAGCCTCTGCTGAACAGCACTGCAGAAAGTAGCTTGTCACTACAAACACAGAGGGAATAAGGCACTAATCAATGGAAGAAAGACCAATGAAACACTTAGAGATGTACACTGTGGAAAACAAAGTTAAGGAGTCGGTGAAGACTCAGAAACTGGGGCATACTCTGACAGGAAGAGGTCTGGCAGACCAAAAGCCACAACTGATTCAGAGGGCAAGTTCTTAGAGTAAGCAGGTTGTTGATGGGCGGCTCACAGAGATAGACTAATAGTTACAGTAGTAATCTCAGTTTCAGCTGTGAAGAAAAGACTTTGCAGCAACAAAAACAAAACATTAAAAATCATATCAGACTGAAAAAAAGAAGCGTATCTGCGCCACGAAACGCCACCATCAGGAGTAGTGGTGAAAAAGGACTGATGAATCATAATTTGACATTTTCAGTTCATCACTCAGGATCTTGTACGCTGCGAAGCAGCTGAAAGGATCGTTCCACAGCGTGGGGCGTCTGCTGTCAAACACGGAGGAGGAAGTGTGATGGTCTGGGCTGTTCTGCTGGATTCATTCTGCAGTCACTGCTTTTAGAAGACAGTGACCCAAAAACTTGCCCTGTTGGGGTGTTTTAAAAACATTTAACAGGTCGTGGATATTTTACTCATGTTATATATTTATGGTATATATTTCTCCGTTATCGGTCATTCTCCAAAGAACATACAGCTCTGGAAAAAATTAAGAGACCACTTACGATGATCACATTCTCTGATTTTACTTTTTATAGGTTTATGTTTGAGTTGAATGAACATTGTTCTTTTATTCTATGAACTACTGAACTCTGACATTCTAAGCAAAAAAATATTTATTAGCAGAAAATGAGAAATGGTGAACATAAAGAAAAAGAAGCAGTCCTGTCAGATCTCAAATAATGCAAAGAAAACAAGTTCAGATTCATTTAGAAACAACAAAACTAATGTTTTAACTTGGTAAGTGTTCAGAAATCAACATTTGGTGGAATAACCAGGAGGTTTTCAATGGGGTTCAGTGCAGTGGACTCTTAGTTTTACATACTTCTCTCTATACATAAAATGTTAACCGCTTCAAAATTATAAAGTGAGTGTTTTATAAATCAATCAAATCTTGTCACTCTGGTTTTAATACTTATTTATGCAACATATGAACATAATACAGTTCAAATTAAATCAGGTTTATTGTTAATTGTGCCATATGTAGAAGAACATAAGATAATTGAAATTACTCCCTGTCCCATGATAGGTGCTACAACATAAAAAACACTATTACAACAACAATAAATAAAAACAAAAACAAGTTAAAATGTGTTTGGTTGGCATTTATCCACTGTCTAGCAGGGGTCACCAAACTTTTTTGAGACTGGGAGCTTCTTCACGGGTACAGAGTAACACAAAGGGCTGCTTGTTTGATACAGACATACATTTTCTTGGCTCAGCCTTTATAACAATAATAGATGATTACATGCTGCCTGATCATATATAATGTTAGGGAATACTTACAATAGTTATCAGTAATGATTTACTATGGCAGATATGGTCAATTATTACTATTATGTGATCAGAAGTTCTTAGTTCAGAGTTTTAAGTTTGATTCCCTTTTGGAGATTTTCTGTGATTCTAAATTGACCCCAAGTGACTGAGGATTATTTCAGTAGCACCTGCAGCTGCAGGCTGAGTACCTTGAGATTTTCCTTTTCAGGATGATGGTAATAGAGAAATAATATACATTTAAAAAACTTCAGCAAAGCATTTCCATAACAATCTTATATTTATGGGCTTCTCTCCACATCTTTACCAAGGTATTTAACCTCTCCAACTCATGGCCTGTTTTTGAGAAATATGGCTGAAAATAACATGCCCAAAATGAATTGAATGTATCTCAAGAACTACAGAGTTTATTTTAATTGTTTTTGTATCAAAATAAAGGCAAGACCCTAGAGAATATGTTACAGCTCTAAAAACCATCCTGCCTGTTAATGAGGAAAGTGAATTAATGATTGTGGAGGGTTTTGCATACTAATGTGGATATCTCTTTTTTCGTGTTGTTGTTGCATTCTTCTTAAAGCCACCAGGTGGCAGTAAATTACAACAAATACTGCAAGAAAATTAAAGCGTAGTCATATATTTTATTTATTTATTTTTACAACGGCGATAAAAGCTTTGTTTTGATAAAAACTCATTTTACAACTTCACAGAAAAACATACTAGTAATTTTAATTTCTATAAAAATATACATCCTTCCAAAAGTCAGCTTCAGACATTCCACCGAAAACATGTGAGAGAATATAAATATATACAGGGATATATACAGGTTTAAATTAATTCAAGTACAAACACACAGAAATGCAAAATGGCTCCGGGGTAAACGAACGAGTCGCTCTTGTGCGGGTCAGCTTTGTGTTTATGTTTTAGATCCCAGTCCCTCCAGCCAGTCCAGCACGGTGCCCAGTTCCCCTACAGCCTTCTGCGCCGCCTGCTGGATCTGCAGCTGCAGGAGAAGAGAGCAAAGAGGCATAGATATGAGCAGAAATGGAAAATCACTAAAGCAATATAAGAGTAGCTTAAGCGAACTGATTGGCTGTTTATAATTGCCTTGCTAATTGATGAAAAATGCCTATGCTGCTTGATTGGTTGATTTCTTTATGGTAGAGGGAGACATTGAGTTTGTTTGTAACAAGAAAAAAATTGATCAATAACTCCTGACATGCAAAGCCTTTTCAAAGCTATTTCTTTGCCCACTGAAACTGAAACCTTCTGCATCTAGCTGTCGTTATGCGAGCTGAGAAAAGATCTTTGCATTTTGTACAGAAAGCACACATGGCGTAGCGTACCTTGTCAAAGTTGGCGAGCACCGAGTCAATCGTTCTCTGGGTTTCTTCTCCGCAGTGGCAGTGCTGCGAAGAGCAAAAAGAGTTCAAAAGTCACTAACACGACCCTGAGCTGCGTCTGGTGACATCACAGCTGAAGCAGGACGGTTGACTTACACATTTGTGCATTTCCCTTCTGATGCTGACAAAAGCGTTTGCCAAGGCGCTGGAGCAGCGCTGCTGACTTGGCTGAGAGGACTCGTAGTTGCCGAAGACTCGTTCGACGTAGAATCGCAGCAGGAGGCGCACAAAGCAGCACGTCTGGCCCTCCTGGTGGAGGCAGGCAGGTTGTCAGGAGTGAAAGCATTCGTCACAACGTCGGGAAATTAAGAAACAGGACGGAAATGTTCTCATGTGAAGATGCCTGAAGAGCTCACCTGAACGTTCTTCATCAGAGATGCATCCAGAAGTTTCACTCCAATCTCACCATCCGCTGATATCTGACATGTAAGGTGAGAAAATCGGGATTAAAATCTCTCTCGGGCGGCTTCTTCCCATCTAATAATGAACACTTGAACATGAAGCGAATGACTTCCTGTGTCTGCATCAAATGTTACTCTGGATGAGCAGCTGCACTGGCGTGTGTGTGTGTGTTTTGATTAAACTCACCGCAACTGATTTTATCTCAGAGAAGTACTGGTGTAGTTCATGGAGGTGAACGTTGGCAGAGCAGCCGTCCATGTGCAGCGTCCGGCTCTCCGCGGGCCCGTTCAGAAAACCCAGGAGGAGGAGGAGGAGCACAGCGCAGACCGAAGAACTGAGCAGCATCTTCATCACTGTGGTTACCTGCAGGTGAAGCTGAATGGAGACATTTTTGATTCGCTACATGTTAAGTCCTGAGCAATGGAAGTTTAAAAATTGTCTTAAAATGATGAGTTAAGTTAATCTTAAGATATACAATTAACCCTAACACTAAATTAGGCGTGATACAATTCTTTAACCAACTTTCTGTATAAAACATCAGGAGTTTGGAGGTAACATGAGTGCATTTAACTTTAGGGCGCTGTCAGCTTTTACAGTGTATCAAGAGGAGAGTATTGTGGGTAAGGATGAAGTTATCACCCATCTTGGCGACACAACATCATGGCGAAACGCTGCAGCGATCCATCAGTAATGACTAAATCCCAGGATGTACACAGTTACTGCACTACATAGTTATAAAACATATGGAACATCCCTATAAGATTAAGGAAAACAGAGCGAGTGCAAAGTTCAGGATCAGCAGGACCCAGAGCAGCAACAGCATCACCTGTGCTCAGACTCACCTGTGTGTTACCTGAGAGGATGAGTCCTGGAGAGGATGTGTGTCTCTGAGCCTCCATCCTCTCTGCTCTTATAGTAGACCGAGGGGGTTTTTCGAATCATGTTTCGGCTCACAAAACGGAGACTGCGGGCGAACACGCCTTTGTTTACTGGACAAGGAAGTGATGCAATTAAAGGAACTCCTCAGTCATGCTATTGAAAATGATAGTATAACTGAGTTTCCTCCCTTTCTGTGACGTAAACCCCGTGTCACTGTGGAGAAAAGAAAACTCTCACTGACTTTCTGCGAATGTGTTCATGAGTCATTCATCAGATTAGAGAGTCATCGTTTTGTTTTGTACATCTGCCTTGTAATCTGCCAGATTATTTGTGGGGTTTTTATTCTTCTCAGTTTCAGGACGAATTAAGTGTCTGCACCTAAAATTGTCCAGTTGATTGTTTCTTGGAGAGTACCGATCATTCCTTTTGCTGCCCAACATCAATAATCTGTCTGTCAGCACTTTTTTTTTTTTGACCCCTCGAGGTTGAAGTCTTTTACCTCAGCACAGGTTAAGCAAGTCGTTTTCAGAAACGCTCGCTAAACCTGCTTATCTATTTGCAGTGACAGAATCCAGTCACAGTTTAAAAAAGAAAATGTCTTCGGGGAAGTCAGATGAAAACAGGAATTGCTTGCGTTCTTGGAATAACTTTGAGTCACTGTCTGTTACTACGGGAGTATCTGCACAAAATTCCTGAGGGTCTTTCGAAGTGGAGGAAACGCGTGTCAGCATTTGTAACTGGAAGTACAGACAATTTAAAGGGAAAAGTTCATAGCCTAGGGTTAGTGGCTGGTGATATACAGTAAGTAGCCAGCAGGGGTCATCACGAAGCTGCATGAGCGTGTTGTGTCTCCTGAGAGGAAGAGAAGCGAATGTGTTCACCAGAAAGAAGATCTGGTCTAAAGATTTCTGATCTGTCTACAATAAGAGCAGAAAGAAAGAAAATTCTATGTAGTTAAATTTTTTTTTTAAAGTAATACAAATCTGAAAAGTGTGGCATGCTTATGTGTTCAGCACCTGTTAATCTAGTAGCTATAAATGAAATCAACCACTTTGCATCGAGACGTCTAAGGAAAACCTTTTCACAGATGATCAGAAGTCAATTTGACTGAGCCTGAATCGTGTTGCTAAGAACATTTTTCAGTTTCCAGTGAAGATGCTAGAGACATTTTCCAAAAGGACTTGGAGCTCTGGTTGAAGGAGAAGACAGCTCTTTACAGTACCGCCTCTAGGGGACGAATACAAATGCATCTCAGATTTTAGAACCTTATTTGTGAATATCTTTGAAAAATATTATAGACATCCCAATCCCTCCACAGCTTTGTCTTGATCTATTATATGAAAACTGCAATGAAATACACTGAGGCGATGCTGTAAGGATGCACTGATCAATGCCTGCCACCTGGAAAAGATGTGCTAAAATAAATGCTTATTTTAGGTAGAAAATAGAGAGAGAGTGTCATGCTGTGGGCCTGTTTTTTTGTTTTGTTTTGTTTTTTCCAAAAAGCTCTAGGAACTCTGTCAAAGTGCATTGAATCATGACCTCTTTAAAATACCTGGAGGTTTTAGAAAAAAAAATCTAAAACATCTACAAGAAAAGTGAAAACGAGTCAATGATTAGAAAGAACTACAATCCACATTTTCCCTCTCTGCGTGCCTCTGTACTGATGCTCCGCTGTTTTCTGTTTGTTTACTGACTATTAGCATCTATTCAAGACTAAAGTCAAGATGAGTCATGGTTCTGGTACCTGGATGTAAGGGATGGAGCTTCTTCCTGGCTATGCTCACATCCTTCCTGCCACAAACTTCTTCCTGCACCCTGACTTGAAGAGAGAAGCTTCCTGGAAACGTTTCTGTTTTTAGAAAGAATTACATTTTTTCCCCTTGCCAATTTGGCAGAGCTCATCCCTGCATAATGACTGTACATACATTTGCATAATGTGTTGAGAACATTTTGGGAACTCTAAGGATACAAATACTTCAACATTTCCTAAAACCCAAATCATGAACATGTTTTATCTCAGGATACTGAACCCAGCAAACTCAAAGGTGGAGAAAATGTATCGGGGCTATGAAACAAAAATTATGATTAAAGATCAGCTGCATACGAACAAAGACATTTTATTTTTCAGTATTTGTACAAAGCGCCTTTATACAGAGGAATAACATAAAAGTCTATTAATAGGAAAAACAAAAACATTTTTACACAGAGCACCTTGGAAACTGAAGGCATTATTCAGGTCTATGCACTGCAATTGTTGGCCCTTAAAGCCGCCCTCTGTAGCAGAGCGGAGGAGCGTCTCCATAACTTTAAATATCAAATTAATTTAATTTAGGCATTCAGCTGAAAAGGTGAAACTCATATGCAGATTCATTACAAATAGAAAGACATGTTCTACATTTATTTCCAATCATTTTCATTATTGTGCAAATGTAAATATTACATAAGATCCATTAAAAAAAAAATAAAAAAAAAAACATGGGGAAGGCTGGTGATTTGACAGCTGTTCCTGACACACTTCACCAGAGGGGCAACTCACAAAAGGTCATCGCTTAATGACCTTCTGCGAACTCTGCAGTTCACAGAGTTTGCTATCTAAACATATTGCTGGAAAGTTAAAGTAAATTAAGAGCATAGTGGAAAAAAACCTGTTCAAAAGTGGAGGATGGGGATTTGTGGACAGACTGCAGCTTCATCTTTGTGTTAAGGTACTGCTGAACCACGTCATACCTCACTGATGTAGTCATTCATGCAAAAGGACCTCCAACCAATGATAGATGGGGTTATGACTTAAAGTACATAGACATACTTTATGCATTAATTACTTTCATGCATTGAATATTGGTTTTTGTTTGCCCTATATAATGTTCATATCCACCCAAAATCCATCCAGAAATAATTTCTTTAGACGTGTAGCTGGGTAATAAATTCATATGAGTTCCACTTTTTAGATTGAATTACTGAAATAAATACAAATTTAACTAAATTTAATTTATTAAATGCAGCTGTATGTATTTTATTACACCTGGAGTTGGAGTTTTGCTCATTTAATTATTTTTTTTCTATTTTTTTTCTTTTTCTCTTTACTGAATAGATACTAAACCTCCCATGCAAACCATAAGCTAAATGTTCCTATAATCTCTTGTTGCCAGTTTGCAGTCCACTGCTTGGATTCTGGCAGAATGACACTTTCAGCCATTTAAAAAGCAAACTCAAAGCTTTGCAGCCGAGCAGAGTTCCTCTTTCAGTAATGCAACTCCGCAGCTCGTTCAAGCTCGAAACCTTGCGCTCCAGTGAGCGCGCTTTAGCTCGAATTGCCCCGTTGTGCACTGCTGTCGTTTATTCGGTTTTTCGTACGTGTTGCGGGTCTGTGTGTGAAGACGCCCTGCCTCCTAAATGACGACAGAGTGAAGGTGTCTGAAGCACATGATGACATCCATAGGGATGGGGGGGTTCAAATGATTCCCGTCCAGACGCAGGTATCTGAGGCGGCAGAACAAAATGCGTCAGCATGTGACCTGACTGCTAGCTCCCGTCCAGAGCTGCTGCAGCACCAGTTCATGTTGACGTGTCAGCCTACCTTAGTCGTGGCACCAGACGGTCGTCAGTCAGGTCGGCCAGCAGGCTGAACGGACAGATCTCAGTGCCGTTGATGCCTGTCAGTAAAACAAATAGTTACAGATGCAAAATAAAAACTCTTTTTACTATACTTCACATTCACATATACTTACGTCACATATACTTCACATTTTTAAGCACCGGTGAGTTTACTGAATTGTGGATTGTTGTGTTGCTCAGGCAGCTTGTCAGCCGACTCAGTGCTATTTAAAAAATCTGATATTTTCTTAATTGAATCCAAAGTCGTGTGCTAGTCGAAAATTTAAGGTGCGTACCGGCCCCATTTAGTCCTGTTTAATCAAACTCTAGTTCGTTTGTGTAGAAGGTTCGCTTCGTTTGAGGTGTGAATGCACAACCAAACTCTGATGTGGGCCAGAAAAAAATCTGGTCCTATAGGTGTTGGTTCAGTTGAAGTGAACTCTGGCGCTGCTTGAATGCATATGTACATAAAAGCTGAGCAGAAATCGCTCCAAAGGCAGAAAGCAGATTATAGCACAAGACATTCTGGGTAAATGTAACCAAAACAAATGCGCAAAGTCTATTGTTTGCAGGAGAAATGTCTCGTGGTCGTTTGCCAAAGACAAAAGAGAAACTCTATAACCTCTAAAATCTGACACCATTCCAATTTTGTTTATATTCCGTCTTCATCTGAGGGTTTTTACATTGTTTCCTTCAGTAGTTCTTGGTGCAGTGCCCCCACAGGCGAGGAGGTGGTTCTGCATCTCCTCGTCTGTTCTTGTCCAAACCCGTTTACCCACAGGAGAGTGAAATCGAACTGCACCAGTAATATTAGCACCAGTGAGTAGAAGACCGTCACTTACTCTCAATGCTGTTGTGGTTGAGGTGCAGGTGCTCCAGGTGATTGTTGAAGAGGGGAATCACTGTGAGCTGGTTGTGAGCCAGCTGCAGGTCCAGCAGGCTGGTCAAGTTGAACACGGCCTTGGGAACTCCTTTATCGCTCAGCTGGTTGTAGTTGAGCCTCACAAACGCCAGGTGGGTGAAGTCCTTGAAGTAATCTCTGGACAGCACAGGCATGCAGGACATAAACAAAGCTGGTACTCCTCAGCAAATCAGCCTATACTATATATGTTTTTGGCTCAAATTTGAGTCAAAAACAGCTTTCTACATCTAAATTTAACTTTTTGTTGCATTGAAGGAAACTGCAGAAGGATTTAAACTGCCAAACATATTTTGCATTTCAGAGTTTTTAACGGTTTGAGATAAAAAGTTTGCACTTTCAACTAAAGAGGAACATGCGGAGATACGAATAGCTTTGAATGTAGATTTCTGGTTCATATCTGCAATGTTCAATGCTCCAAACATAAATCTTTCTGACAGCGGCGCAAATCTTAGAAATCTTAATTTCTTTGGCAACATTTCAGCCCATGTGTGTGTCCAACACTGTCACAGTACACTGGAGTTATTCACACATGTCCGTTAACCAATGTTTGCATCCTGAGTATTTACTTTGGTATGTCGTCTATGCGGTTCTTGTCCAGGAACAGCTGGATGAGGCTGTTTGGCACTCCAGCGGGCATCTTCTTCAAAACGTTGTGCGCCAGGTTGAGCTGCATGAGGTTCTTCAGGTCCTTGAGTGTGTTCTTTCCCAGGCCACTGTCGCTCAGCTGACCGAGAAGACACCGCACACTGAAAATCTACTTCCCATAATGCAGTTGGCTCTCCTGCCTGTGCAGGGTGCCAAATGTGGTTCACCTGGTTGTAGTGCAGGTCCAGCAGAGTCAGGTTCTCCAGCTTGGTGAAGGCACCAGTGGGGATCTTGGAAATGCGGTTCCTGTCCAGACGAAGCTGCTCCAGACTTGTCGGGAGGCCTGACGGTACTTCATTCAGCTGGTTTCTCTGGACATAGAAATACAGCAGACCCGGGATCTTCTCAAAGACCTGCAGACATGGGGAACACATTGGCATTTTAAACCAGTTTTTTTTCCAGATTTTTAGAGGCTTTAAAAGACAAAAAATCGTCGGATTAACCTGTTTGTCTATTTTCTGGATGCGGTTGTTTGCCAGATTGATCCAGCGGACCTCAGTAGCATTGTTAAAGGCCTCTGCAGTGAGCTCAGAGATGTAGTTGTTCTGTAGGTACAGGTAATGAGTTCTGAATGGGATGACCGGGACCACACGGATGTTCCGGTTCTCACAGTTGAGAGAATTTGGGTAGCTTGGGAGACATAAACACTCTCTGGGACAATCAGAGTAGATGGAGGGCGGGCCGAGGATGGGTGGAGGGAAATCTGTGGGCTCCTGGGGTTCGGGCACAGCTGGCGCCACACGCTTGGGGACAAAAGGCTTCCTGGTGGTGGCTGGACGCCTGGTAGGCTTCTTTGGTCGCGGTCTCTGGGCGAACACTGCTCCCATTAAGAGGAACAGGAGAAATGAAGAAATAAGTCCCACACCAGCCTTCATTGTCCTACAAGAGAACATGAAAGAGAAGCTCATTGTTTTTTAAGTAAAATGCACAATATTGCATCAAGCAAAGAGACAAAAAAAATCACTTCAGTTCAATTGCATTTAATTCTGCAACAGAGGTTTTAAAGTCATAAATTCCCTAAGAGAAAATGGATTAGTTACTATCCTATTAATTACTGGGACAAGGATAGGTTTAATTCATGTTAAATCATAAATTAACTTGAAAGAACATGATATTGTTACAAGCCTGATTGCTGCCAGAGTTGCAGAATCAAGAAGTCACTTAAATTTAATCTGTCTGACATCAGGATTAGGCTCAAAGGTCACAGATTAAAAACCTGTCATGCTTCAATCTAAAGAAAGTCAAAAACAGACAAGAAATAAAACGGCCGACTATCTGTCTTGAAAGGATTACAAAACCATTTCCGAGCTTTAAAAGTTCATCAAACCACAACGAGCGTCATCAGTGGAGAAAACATGGATGTGTGGAGAACCAAAATGACTCCAATTGGATATTAGCTACTCATCCAGAAGTCACAAAACAACCCAGAACAACATCTATAGTGCTTCAGTCCTGCCGTGCCTCATTTGATCTGATGTCATGACGAGAACAGTCCAAAAGGCCTCACAAGGCAGAGTTCAAAGGTCAAAACTACCGCTGGTTTTCTGCCCACATCCAACTGTGACATGAAAGCAAAAAGGAGAAATCTTAAGAGACAAACTATTTTTATACCACTCTTATGTGACTGACAAAACTGAAAAGGTTTATTTGTCTATTACAGAATTTATTTGTGGAAAAATACCAGTCGCTCTTTACTGGAAGGATGAATTAGACTTTCATAACCAACACCGGCTCTGCACAGCCTGCAAGCAGCAGGAAGATTTATTCTCCTGAGCTGCATTTAAAACCACCTCTCAGGTGACTATTGCTGGTCTTTTCCAATGCGTAATTCATGAAAATGTAAA